GGCCCATTATCATTGAGGATCCTTCCAAAGCAGATTATAAGAAAAACTGATCAGTATATCAGTATAAGTAAGCTATATTTTAGTAAGTAAGCATAAGTGATTGTGTATTTCAAGCTGTGGACAGATAAATGGAGGTGTATTTGATTCACTTATTCATTCATTTATTTATTTACATTTTATGGATTCTAGTAAATCATTCAAGTGTAACGGATGACAGGTTTTAAGGTACATTCTTCAAGGTGGATGAATAATTTTTCGGGAAAATGGGCGAGGAGAACTGGTGGTAAGTCGAAATGAAGGTACAGTGATAAGAGCGAGAGTAGGCCGTGCTTTCTTCTCGTGAAAAAGATGAAAAGAGAAACTACAGTGTTCAGGAAAGAATCGTTCAAATCAGAGGTACCTATTTAATATACATATAATTATATTTATATGTACGAGAAAACGTGCTGAATTAAAAATTTTGCCCCAGTCGTACCTGCAGTGCCGCGATTGCAAACATCATTGGGGTATGATCTCCTGCACATGTCTAGTCTGTAAAAATTAAAGAAAAAACGCGATGTATTTGTGTAGTTTCATGAATTTCATGAGATGCTAATAGCTTGATCAAATGTTGTCTGTGTTGTCCCTGTTTGGAATTAACTTGTTTATTAGTCGATCACACAATCATCTCCACATTTTTCCAAGATGTTTCAGTTTCTATACAGGGTGGTCCATATTTTTGAACATTAATAGAGGGCGTTGGAGTTCCATCAATAACATAATAATTCCATGAAAAAACAAGTAAGTAATCCTTTTCAAATTCGCCGCCATACTGTCTTTCTTTTTAAACTCGCGTCTTTATCAAAAGTCAGAAATGGTTACAAAAATTTATAAGAGCCGATACGCAGGTATTATATAATCAGTTTCTGGAATAAGTAGAACGCCGCTGGATATTTTCTAGGAAATCAGTTATTCGCAAAATTAGTTATTGAATTCTGAAGAAATTTTGACCAAAAGCTGTTTTCGAATAGAATAGAATAAATGATCACATCCATGGTATACAAGTTATGGACGAGTCATACAAAGAAACAGAAAAGTTACAAAAAAAATATAAGTGATAAAATCGATTAAAATCGATTAAAATTAAAATAGCACCAGTTGTCTACCAGAGTCATTGATAAACTCACTGGAGTGGTTGATTTTGTAGAGACTCATTCCGACAAGAATCTGTCCCAACGTTTTTTTAAAAAGATCCAACGACAGATTTCTGATATCTGTGGGAGGAGAATTTAAAAGAGATATTCCTATGGATTTGCTCTTTTCTAATCTCCTCTTATGAGGTACAATATTATATGCGCATATCTGTTTTTATAATCATGAATGTCGTGAGTATGTAATGAATTTATAAATCTTTTTCAACATGTATGAGATTTTCATAGACATTTGTGAGTATAAGGTCATGATACCTAAATCTTGAAAAAATGGTAGGCAATTCATTCAAAAATAATTCATGCCCATGCAAACCATTGTTTTGCATGGGCAGTAACGTCTACTGAAATGTCGTCAATATCTGTGCTAATGGGATTCAGATGAATAGAAAAGGATATATCATCTGCATACAATATTGTCAGTAATTCATGTTTCAATAGCTTTCATGTGAAGGCATTTTTATATTGAAAATAAAAAAGACCTAATATCATACCCAAAATACTATAATCATTTTAGAGAAGCCTATATAGGCATTTCGGCAACTAATAAATTGTCATTCTCAGAAGAATTGGATGATAAATTAGCTTATATACTCTATAATATGTATGTCTATGTATAGTATATTTCGGAATAGGTATTTTCCGGAAATTACCAGCTAGAGGAAAGGTAATATTTATTTCTTTTCAAGGTTTACTGATGATGATAACTTGGATGCAGAAACAATAATATCCAGATTTTTTTAAATACCTACGATTGAAATTAATGTTTTATTCCTAATGAACATTGAATGAGAAGGTCTGATATACACACGCGGGAAAGATGGATGAAAATAAATTCTTTATTTATCATTTTCCTCTAAGATGGTTCATTTTATTTTACCCAAATTGATTCTTTCTATGTCTTGATCATACGAGTTATTGAAAATTTGAGTCTCAAACATAAAACTTAAGTCAACCCCTGATAAAGTAAGAAAGATAGATATTTCAAGGAAACTCTTAAGGAGTTCTTGCTAGTGTCCGTCATACCGAATTTTCATTGAATTATATCAATTAGGTACTTCAAGAGTCATTCAAGAAAATACGATTTCCAGTTTCCTTCAGGGGCCGCTCTTGTCTCCTTAAGGAGTGCATGTAGAAAACATTTTTATTAGATTATTTTATCTTATCTTTATCTTTTCTTAATATTTATTAAATAGATTATATACCCACATTTTCCTGGACACCCTGTATAGTTATTATGCATTATTCTCATATCACTTGAGACACAGTTTAGGGATATTCCCTAAACTGTGCTCAAGATGGCACCCGAGCAGACTATACCTTTTCAACTTCAATTTCGGAATCGGTTAGTTATATTTCGGAAAAAGTAATCTCGATTTCAGAATTGGTAAGTTCGATTTCAGAAATGGTAAACTCAATTTCAGAATCGGTGAGATGAATTTCAGAAAAAGTCCATTCAATTTCAGAAATGGTAAGTTGTATTTCAGAATTATTATTGGTAGGTTCAATTTCAGAAGATGAAATCCTTTTATATATTCGAAATGTGTTTAATTGCAAAAGAGAAGACTGTTTACAGTGGATGGAACGGTGTTTGAGAGCCCTATGTTGAATCAGATTGAACATAATATATGGGGTGCCTTCAAGTCAGAAGTGAAGAGCTCCTTGCAAGAGCATCGCCAAAGGGTCATAGCTGGAGATCCGAACAGATTGCTCAACCAGATAGAATTCAGACTGCGATGTCTTGAAGAATGTGCAGATCATTCAATGAACATGATAACACCTCAAATGTGTTTGCATTCTTATAATCATGTGCAACGCCATTATCTTCCAGCGATTCAGATGGAAGGCATCTGTGGATTACATTGTTTTTGAAAAGTTGAATATTTCAAATATGGTTTGTTAATCTCACATGCAAATGGAAACATTTCGAACAAATATAAGGATTTTTTTTTATGATATTGAACCTACCAATTCTGAAATACAATTTACCATTTCTGAAATTGAATGGACTTTTTCTGAAATTCATCTCACCGATTCTGAAATTGAGTTTACCATTTCTGAAATCGAACTTACCAATTCTTAAATCGAGATTACTTTTTCCGAAATATAACTAACCGATTCCGAAATTGAAGTTGAAAAGGTATAGTGCCGCCACGCGAGAACAACGTCGAACATCCCACCATCACGTTTATATGGAAATGCTTGTGTTTTTGTTAGACCATTAGTTCAATATTAGGAGTTCCATAGTTCCAAAACTTTGTAGCGCCTCGTAATCTGCTCCAAGTTAGTAGGTACTCCCAGCTATCGTATATACACGCTACTTAAAACTAATATCAGAATATGGTTAAATTGTGGAAAATTACCAGCTGTTCCTTTGGTGCATCGTCCACCTTTTCTACGTCGACACATGTCATATCTATCAAAATAGCAAGATTTAATGAAATAGTGATACACTTAATATATATATAAAACTATTGAAATATTGTACGTTTAGAAAATTTACAAATGAACTAATAAAAAATGCTCCTTGAGTGGAAGTGAACGCTTTGTACAAACCAATTGAGGCGAGTGGACTGAATATTTTTTTTATTTCGCACTAGTAGACATTTGAATCGGTGAACGTGATAACTACGGCGCACGACTTGTGGGCGTGGTCTTGTCAGCTCTCAGCATTCAGCACAATGTTGTCAAGTCTCCAACATTCACATGCTATTTTGTTATGGAGAATAAGAAACATTTGGACATGCTGGTTGCTCGAAGAAGTCAAGAATGATCTTAAACATCGTGGGTTCCTCCTATTATGTTTTATTCAACGACAGGACTCTAACTTCTTTTTGCTAGCTTGTTTATTGGTGACTTGAAAAAGCATAAAAACAGACGTCATCATTTATTCGACGTATCGCCAAATGGCGGCCATGAAGGTTTGTTTGAAATGAGCTCTGAAATTCAACAATTTCGAACAACGTAAAGACTCATAATTTACATAAAAATGCGTGAGGAGTGTTGCAAAAATTTATTTAGTTTCCTAACGACACTGTGGAGTAATTGAATGCCAATAATTCATTTTCAGTCCACTCGCCCATTATAAATCTGTACGTTCAAATTAGAGGTAATTCGAATATCAAGAGAAAAAACTCGAAACAAAATTAAAATTTCACGTAAATCTTCCAACTCCTAGGGGTCATCAAAAGGCGTATATGTTAGAAGGAGAAAAAAAAACAATGCTGTTGATCACAAGAACACATGATAAGAAGTACTCACCTTATCAGCAACGAGATTTGCAATAGGTACATTTCATATATCCGGAGTGAGACCTTGAGTTTTTTTCAATTTAATAAATTATTACAACCACTTATTATAATTTTTATTATTAGAACTTATATTGTATTATTATGTGATGTATTCTTCTGCTATATCTTTCTCAATAAACCAATTCTTTCTTGTGAAAATGAAATCATTTGAAATTATCAATTGAATGCATTTTTATTGCCTCTGTTTGTGAGTCATAAGCGTTGGGAGTTTCAAGTGAAAAACCCTAGGCTTACTTTTCAATTTGATTGAATATTTAATTATGTTGATTCATGAACAAATGATACCTACGTACTTTGTTATCGCTACGGCAATGTCGTACACTGGTAGTCTTCGTTCTCTAAACAAATATTTTCCCATATCAGTCAAAGCTGCTGCGGAATCTATTGCATCTCTTCCAACTCTGTTCCTCTCTAAATATGGAGTTGCATCCCTACCCTAGAAAAATTACACGCAATCCATTGTTTGGCAGAATATTTTCCAAATAATTATGAATATTTCCAGATTTCGACCATGGCTTGTGCGGACGCTGTTCTGAAATTTCTCCAAGAACACAATCGACCTTTTTCCAACAACGATATCCAAAGTGGGGTTAAGGGTTCTGGTGATTTTGGGAAAGCAGCTGTTCAGAAATCTCTAGATGTCTTGGTTAGGCATGACAAAGTCAAAGAAAAAGTGTATGGAAAGCAGAAGGTGAATATATGATTTATTGAATAAATTATGCACAAACAATGGAAATACACTCAGTTCCAAAAAAAGTGACGCACTTGAAAAAAAAATAGTAGGCCAATTTTTATTTTATTTTATTTGTTGGTAGGTAATGCATTTGTCTTTAAATAAAAATAAAGAGGTGAAAATGATTTCAAAGCCTCCTTGATGGTGGTAGAATAACTCGAACCATGATTTATTCTTAATTTTTGACTCACCCTGTGTGTTAATTGAGTAATGGCATAGAAAGTGCTTACACCCTATACGAAAGAGGCTTCTTTTGCGAGCATTTTGTTTTTTTATTCATTGATCTATCTCTAAAATTTTTCGAATTACAGCTTTTTTTTGCTGAATCCTTGCAGATTACCAACTTTCTGAATTTATCGAGAAACTATTTTCTAATGAAATAAACTGATACCAATAATTTTAAAAAACATTTTTATAAACACAAAATTATAAATTGGGATGACTGCTTAATACCGTGTATTGCATCCTCTAGCAACTCTAAGAACTTCTAATCTACGAGGCATACTGGAAATTAAGTTGCTTATCGTTTCCATTGGTATACGATCCCATTCTTCCACTAATGCATCTACCATTCCTGCGAGACTCTCCGGAGACCTCTCGCGAGAACGTACCCTTCTCCCTAATTCATCCCACAAATGTTCTATAGGATTCATATCGTGGCTTCTCGCAGCGCATTCTAATGATTGTGGTAATACCAGTAGGTTCTAAGAAGTTTCGCACTATTGCTGCGGTGTGTGGTTGGGCATTATCCTGCATCAATATAAAATTATTGCCCACTAACTCTGCATAAGGTAAGACATACTGCTCTAAAATGTCAATGTATATTTGGGCATTCATCGACTGCCTCACCGGAAAAACATAAAGGGGTGTCTTTCCATTCATTGAAATCCCTCCCCACACCATAACGGACCCACCATTAAAACTTTCGCATTCTGTCATTAAATTTTGATTACACCGTTCACCAGTTCTTCTCCACACTCTTTTTCTTTCATCCACCATGTTAAGGTAAAACCTTGACTCATCCGTAAACAAGACATTCGACCATTCAGGAATATTCCACTGTCCATAATTTTCAACAAAATTTCTTCTAGCAGGGCCTTTTGCAGGTCTTCTAGCTTTTAAATTAACTTCTTTTAGACGTCTACATACCGTCTTCTTACTTACTGCAACATCACGAATTTGGCGAAGATCTTTCTGAACATTTACCGCAGTATTTGATAGATTCCGTAAAATCCGCAATCTCAACAAGCGATCATCTCTTGAGGAAGATTTTCGGGGGTGACCAGAACCGACCCTCCGAGCGGTGCTTCCTGTTTGTTCGTACTTGCGGATTGCTCTACGAGCAGTTGCTTCATGAACTTCAACTGCACGAGCGGCGTAACGTTTACTACGCCCATCGTTTACTAACGCATCTAATCTTGCTACTTGTTCAGGATTTATTTGAGGCATTTTATGTAATTTTAGTCGATAAAAAAAGACACTTAATTAATGACACAACGACAAATGGTCAAATATGGAGGCATACAACAAATTAGTTGTTATGGCAACGGCCGTTGTTTTTTTAGAGACAATGTGATCCTACCAGAGTACAACCTAATCAATTTTGAGTACTCTGATCCTTCAATAAATTGAATTTGTGGGATAAGCGTAAGGTATCAGCAAAAAAAACTGTAATTCGGAAAATTCTAGAGATAAATAAATGAATAAAAACAAGATGCTCGCAAAAAAAGCCTCTTTCGTATAGGGTGCAAGCACTTTGTATATACCATTACTAAATTAACACACAGGACGAGTCAAAAATTAAGAATAAATCATGGTTCGAGTTATTACACCACCATCAAGGAGGCTTTGAAGAAATTTTCACCTCTTTATTTTTTTAAAGACAAATGCATTACCTACCAACAAATAAAAAAAAATAAAAATCGGCCCACTATTTTTTTTTTTTTAAGAAGATAGGTCAAGTATCAAATGCTTCACTTTTTTTGGAACTGAGTATATGTCTGTTTCAGGTATATTGTATAATACAAAAACATGATGCATCTGGAAGTAAATTGCGGGAACAACTGCTGGAAATGGATAGACAAGTCAATGATATAACATTGAAGATGAACGAAGTTAACGAAAAACTCAAGAGCAAATCGCAGTTAGTTAAAAATATGAAAGGAAAAATGACATTGACTGAAGCTATTCAACAGAACGTGGAGCTTGATGGTGAACTGGAATCAATCAAGCAACAACTGTTGAAATATCATGGAACCCAAACTATTTCCCCCACGAAGAAGTTGGAAGTGGAAAAAGAGTTTGAAAAATATTTGAGTCATTACAAAAAACGTAAGCGCATGTGCATGGATATATTAAACTCTATTTTGGAAAATTATCCCAAAACAAAGAAACAGTTGTTTGAAGATATTGGAGTGGAAACTGACGAAGATGTTGGGTTTTCTATTGAGAAGCTGTAGCTATCTTTAAGTTAATATTTATAGTTGATCATTTCGAAATATATTATTTTCATTGATTTACTTACTCTACTAATGATAATACCAGCAATCGATATCCTGATCTTGGGTCCTTTCAGTAGTTTATACCTTAGATCCACTCCGTTCCAGAAAGACACGAAATATCTCTTTATTTGGATGTTGTCACCACCATGTAATCGGTATCCATCATAATCGACAATAACCAAAATTTCCGGATAAATTGTGTATGGAGCTTCTCGTTTGTTCCGTGACTTTTCTAAGGCTTGTGCACTTCGTTTATATCTTTTCGCTAAGTGATCTGGTTCCATGAAAGCTGAAAAATCAGTACTTATATACGATCGAATATTACAAAAGTACATAAAAAATATAAGAGGGCGGTATTGTATACTTTGTATCCATCGATATTTCAGATATTTCAGAAATGTGCTACTCATGAGCTTAGACCATCACAGACATTTTTGGTTATCTATCTTAAACAGCGAAGCCGTTATTTCACTTCCTCACAGTAAAATGGGCCACCCTGTACATATCCTTTCATCTGAAGTTTCAGCTTCAAAATGAGCCTGGGATTCGAAAAATCGGTTGATGAGTCAAAAAGTTATGACTGCAAAACCGAAATGTTATGTTTTTGAGATCACTCTGTGAAAGAAATCAGAAGACGATTCGAAAAAGATAATGAGGCCATCTTTATACCTCTGCTGTCAAAGTTGGAAAAAAAAGTTTTTCTTCATTTGGGATCCTTTTGAAAATTCCGAAATTTTGCACAGTTTCAGGTAACACCCTGTACCAATTTTATGTGAAGTACCTTATGTTTCAAAATAGTACAAGGTTAGTACAAAATAATAGCTGAATGACTGGGCTAGCGAACAATGTGATCCGAATTCGAATTGTTCGAAGCAGAAAAAAGTTATAATTTTTTTTCTACTCACATAACTAAAATGGCATTTAGCGTACGGATATGTACCACGCTAAATGATCGATTTATCAAGGATTGTCGATCTGTGATTTATTCAAAATATTAAACACGTTACCATGGCAACACGATTTTTTAAAAACATTACCATGGCAACACAGTTCTTCAAACACAGCTTCAGTAATTTGAGACATGTCTGGTCTGTCAATTGTATCAACTGTCAACTGTTATTTTCGAATTTTGTAGCAGAATTATTCAAACAATATTCGTTTGTATCAGGATTCTTCATTAAAAATATATGCGAAAAGTAGACGAGAGTGAAATCGAAGAGAATGTTCTGGTACTTGCATATCTCCAAGAAGTGTGAAAATGAAGCATCCATCTTTGAGAACAATTTATTCATTCTGCGCTAAGCATAACAATAAACGTGAAACAAAGGTTAGTAAGCAATGGACTGGACACATCTACAACCAATATCACTTATACGTGTCTCGCTGGTTGCATGCAGTTGCATGTATTATATGTTCTCAATTCCCATTCCATTCGAATTATTTTGTAGGTTAGCAGGAATTGCAGGTATGTTAATGTTATTTTCGGAGTTCGTAGAAAAATCATAGTATGTAACGCGTTTATATATAAACTCTTCTAGACACTCGTTTATTAAACACTCGTTCCGCTATGCTCCGCTCGTGCTCAAACTACTCGATACTAAAAGGACGTTTATAACACTTGTTACATAATATACTATTAACAGGGGTTAAATTTTAGGGTGTGACGAAATTAGTGTTTCGTAGTTAACTTTCCTGGCTATAGGCCACGCAGAACATTCAATTGCATCCTCCCGAAATCTATACAACCATTCGTATAGACAAATAAGATGATTCCTTCCTGAATGCTGAAAGGTGCCTAAATTGTTCAGGAACGCTTGACTACCTGCAGACCGGTTTCGAGCTTTTGGCTCTCATCAGTGCAGGGGTGTCCCTGATGGCATTCATGACCGCCACCTGGTGCGAACCTCACTCAAGGTAAACACATCTCAGCATTTAATACCCATGAAGCGTTCGGTATCTGCGAGATGGACACGAACGCCATCTGAGTAGAAGGAAAGGGACATTGCAAAACAAATTCCCATTTCGAATAAAATGGGAGTGGCTGATTGCCCGACCGGCGTAATTTCAACTACGAGAAAGCAAAAATGCTCAAAGTGGAATGACATGTTCAATAAATTTACAAAGCTCAAAGTCATTTCCACAAAGCAGGTTCATAAATGAACGACTCTGGTAGATAACTAGACCAAAACAACTACTTTCTTGGAAATGCCACACAGAACATTGAATTACATCCTCCCGAAATCTATGCAACGATTCGTATAGGCGTATCAGATCGCTGATATTCCTTCTGCCTTCCTGAATGCTGAAATGTACCTAAATTGTTCAGGAACGCTTGACTACCTACGGACCGGTTTCGGGCTTTTGGCTCTCATCAGTGCAGGGGTGTCCCAGATGGCATTCATGATGGCATATAGCCAGGAAAGTAGTTGTTCCTCTCGTTTTGTTCCTCTCGTTATCTACCAGTTCCGTTCATTTATGAACTTTTGTGGAAATGACTTTGAGCTTTGTGTATATATTTAACATTTAATTCCTCTCTGCGCATTTTGAATTTTTCGTACTTTCGTAGTTGATACCTTGTTCTGTTATTTTTTATTTCAACTCACCATAATCGCTCATAGTGACGTCCTCCTCCTGTTTCCTCTTGAACACAATATGGTGATGCACATTTTTCTTCCGGTTTATGGGCAAACCTGTGTCGATTGCCACTTCTGCGCTCAATTCTCCGTCCTGATCCAGGAACATCTCGTCATCGTTGATCGTTTCGAGATCGGAATCGTTTTTGTTTTTCGACTGTATGACGGATCCCCTCAAGCGGGAGGGCAGCGGCCGTATGACTAGATGAGATCCAATGCTTCCTTCCTATAGGACACAATAAATGGGATTAGGCCTGGGAAGAAAAATCGATATATCGATAAATTTATCGAATCGAAATATTGGTATATTGATAACCATCAATATATCGATAAATAAGGATTATGAAGTTATCGATATATCGATAACTATCAATTTTTTCTCAACATAATCACGATGTTCTGAATACTCGAGATAGTTCTATCGTTTTATTGTTCACGAAATTGTGTTGCTGTACGGCATTATAACTTTTGTCTGGATATCACAAAAGCTTCTATAAGAGCCACACAATTAAAATGAGTTAATTTTTACCGATATTTTGAGACAAAATTGATAGTTATCGATATATCGATGGTTATCAATGTACCAATATTTCGATATATCGATGGTTATCGATAATCGATATGTGAAATCCAATATCGCCCAGCCCTAAATGAAAAATCTGTTGCCATGGCAACGATCGTCATGGTAACGAGTAAACAAAAACCCGATTCCCGTGGTGAGGAAATGCGTAGTTGCCAAGTTGTCGGGTTTAGTTTGGCTGAGATCAGTTATGGAAAAACTATTGCCATGGCAACGATCGTCATGGTACGAAAGCGTAGAAAGGCCACTGTTGTGTGTATTTTATTTTATTTCTTTATTCAGACTTTCAAATTCTGACTTTTTTTTCTGAATTCGGACTTTAAAGTCTGAATTCAGACTTTTTTCTCTGATTTCAGACTGTTTGCATTGAATGCATTGAATACATATTCACATTAGGTAATACCAAGGGTGATAAACTGATTTCAGGAAGTACCTTTTATATGTCATTTACTTTTCATGGGGTTGATGCTTAATTTTTTTATTATATGCAGGTCAGTAAGTCAAATCGTCTTTAATGAATGATGTGAATTCAAATATATTTATACCCTATATAAAAAGCGAGAGTATAGTTTATACAGGGTCCTGCAACTCACCTCCCGTCTTCTATACAGTATGATGCAAATGTATGGAATAAATTCATTTCAAAACAAGACGACTTCCGAAAAAATCCAAAAACTAGACTTCAGAACTTTATTAATTGATTTATTTTTTTAAATAGACGACCCTTCGTTGTTCAATTCTCATTAGCAGACCTCTGCAAGATTCAGTTAATCAAATGATAAGCCATTTTAATTTCAATTTTCTTATGCAAAATGTTGACTGTTGAATAGACGATCAGTAGACCTTTCAAACGAGGTGTCACATGACCCCTGTTTTCATTTGAAAAAATCGTTCATTACGTCATTACTTCAACACCGATGACGTAACATATCTCATATGGATATCATGAGATGAGGCTTCAAAAATGAAACCTCACGTGTTTTTGGAATTTTTTAAAATGTCGCCCATTTCTGAAATAATGAATTTATTCCATACATTTGCATCATACTGTATATAGCTTAATTATCAGTTGCGTTAGGATTTTGATATTTCACAGACTTCAATTGTATCATAAGGCGCATACCAGGAAACTAATTTCGATCATACCGGGTGTCCCACCGGAAGTGGTAATAACTTTCGAATTTCGAATGGAACACCCTGTATATCATTGCATTTTCAGATTCTGCATCATCATTTTCTGAATCAAATGATACCATATAAGTGACATTTCAAACTTCGATATTGATTTTAATTTCATTTTTGAATTTCCATTTGAGTGTGCCATGACTTGATCGAGTCTGATGTACTAATATTGTCAGATTTAATGCTAAAAATATTGAATCCTGTCAAAAATGTGAAATTTCTTGATTTATCTCCAATTTTGGTTCATCAAAATGTTTTGGTGGTCCATGATCCTCTTACACCCGGTATATGGGTATATGGTGTGTAGTATGAGTCTGTATTCAGAGAAAAAAGTCTGAATTCAAAGAAAACAGTCTGAATTCAGGATTTGGAGTCTGAATTCAGAATTTAAAGTCTGAATTCGAGAAAAAAGTCCGAATTCGAGAAAAAGTCCGAACTCGAGAAAAAGTCCGAATTCAGAAAAAAAATCTGAATTTAGAGAAAAAAGTCTGAATTCAGACAAAAAAATCTGAATTCATAAAAAAAATAAGTCTGAATTCAGACTTTAAAGTCTGAATAAAGAAATAAAATAAAATACACACAACAGTGCCTTTCTACGCTTTCGTATTATGGTAACGAGAACGAGTAAACAAAAAATCCGATTCCCGTGGTGGGGAAATGCGTGGTTGCCAAGTTATATCGGAGAAATATTGCTTTATTCATCAATTTCAAAAACACTCTTCAATACAACCATCCTTCACGTGCCAAGCTATTCGACAAAATCAAAAAGAAACAGAGCCATTTTGGAATATTCATTACGAGGTATCGCGCAGGATATAGGAAAAGAGACCAAAGGTACTGGTTGTCTAATACAGATGGAAACATCTCGTTAGTTCCAAATTTCGATCCAC